TCTGAGCACCCAGTTATGGGTGGGAACGGCCCAAGGGGGCCGGGTGGGAATTTAGGGTTTAGGGTTTAGGGTTAAGGTCTTTCATGGCCAGCTCAGTTGCAGAAGCCACCGAACCACATTGGAAGCTACTTGGTGTAAATGTGTGCGAAAGAATCCTGGAAGGGGCGGAAACCAAAGGGAAGTATCGCTAAACCCTAAACCCTAAACCCTAAACCCTAAAACCATCGACTTACGTCTGCTGAGCTCTCGGCGTTTCGAGAGGTAGCCGGTGATGAGGTTCCCGGGGATCGCCAGCAGCTGGCCTCCGACACATTAGCCACTCTTTGGGTTTAGGGTTTAGGGTTTAGGGTTTAGGGTTTAGGGTTTAGGGTTTAGGGTTTAGGGTCTCTCTGGGCCTTGAACATATTATCTCGGCAAGGCCCAAAATACCAAAACAATTCTGTGTAGACGTGTCATCTGAGTCTTAGGTTCATACGGTGCTACTGCTATTCCTTAGGGTGCATACCGCAATATCGTACCCCAGTAGGCTTTCGTAGCCCTAAACCCTAAACCCTAAACCCTAAACCCTAAACCCAGTAGGCTGAACCGATATGGAACCCGCATAGTAGCCCGTGTGGTCATTGTAGCCTTAACGACCGCTTCCACCGAGCGGAGTTGCCGTTCTCGTCCCGAGGCTGGGGTTTCGGGTTTAGGGTTTAGGGTTTAGGGATTTAGGGTTTAGGGTTTAGGGTTTAGGGTTTAGGGTTTAGGGTTTAGGGTTTAGGGTTTCGGGTGAAGGGATTCATTCTCAGCTCCGGTGCCCAAACCCCAATGCATGTGAAGATATCGTGATGGAAGTATCAATGCTGGGACTCGAACCCTGAAAACCTACACCCCTAAATGCCCCAAACCCATGCCCTCAGAACCCTAATCCCGATAATAATAATAATAATAACAATAACAATAATAACAATAATAATAATAATAACAATAATAACAATAATCATAATAAATAGAAATAAAGACAAGGGTAACTCCTAAGCTGCTTCGGCTCAGGGCTCCGAAGAAGTCTCCGTCGAACCCCGCGGTCCTGTGCTGGCCTTGTGTTTCTTTGGCACCAAAACCCAGTGAGGAAGCATCCCTAAACCCTAAACCCTAAACCCTAAACCCTAAACCCTGAACCGAAGCTCGTAGGAGACAAAAAGAGGCGCTTGTCGCAATCCCCCCCCCCTGGAAACGCCGGTGCTGGGCCATCGGGCCTGGGATCATCGTCAGGACCGCGACCTGCGGGCGCCGTCGGGTTTAGGGTTTAGGGTTTAGGGTTTAGGGTTTAGGGTTTAGGGCGGGGGAGTTGTTCACGAGGTTGCTGGGAAGGGTTCCGGCCTGGGCGTTGCGGGTTTGAGTAGAATGGGATTTTCGGGAATCTTGTGCCAGAAAACTGTGTAGCATTGCAAAGTATTCCGAACCCTTGATATCCCCTCAAGTCAGGGACCCTTTCTTGGGTATCACTAACCTCAACACCAGACACCTGCACTATCCGACTTGCAATTAGGGTTCAGGGTTAAATCGCAGGAGCAGGAGCTGGGAGCTCTGAGCGCTTATCACCCGCTGGGGCCCCGGGCCGTGATGATCTCCTGCTTCGTGCCGTAGGGGATGAGCCCCATCGACTGATTGAAGTATTGCCTGGCCAAAGCACACATCACAACCCCTCCATCTATCTATGTGTCTATCTGTCGTGAAATATATTGCACTAAGTCACTAAGTTCGAGATACCACAATTCTGCTTGGGGAACAACAAACCTCTCTCTCTCTCTCTGGGTCAGGGCTCTCTCTTCTCGCCACCGTCGCAGAAACACCCAGCAGAAGGAATACTCCCAACTTGGGAAAACGGCTCGGAGTTACCCGCCAATGTCCATGACCAGCTGGCCGGCGAACCTCAGTGACGCAGGGTTCGGGGAACTTGGATGTCCACGTTGAAAAACTCCCCGCCGCCCCTCTCCCAGGTGCCAAGTCGCATCAGCAAGAATCCGGCGAACCTGGCATTGGTCTTCTCTGTTTCAGGCTGTGCCGGAACTCCCCAGGGTCTTGGGAGTTGGAAGCTTGAAACTGCGGAGGCGGAGGCATCTCCAGGCTCGCAGTAGCTGCGAGTTTCTGACGTCGAACCCTTTTAGAGCATCCTGCGCCTCCAAAGTTCTTCTGCCTGTAGTAGTTGTAGTAATAGTAGTAGTAGTAGTAGTAGTAGTAGTAGGTGGTAACCAGAAGAAGAAGACTTAACAATAACAGTAGTAAGGATGACCATGATGATGAGTAATCATACTCCTCATAGCGGCAGCCCACAAGGAGCTCTCCCTTCAACCAGGCAAGGTGGGCCAAAGTCGACGGAGCCGTCGATTGCCAAAGGCCAGGCGAACCGGCAACACGAACTGCCTGGCGGGACTTGCTTTCGGGGCTTCGGAGGGATCTGCATCATGGGATCCGTAAGCAAAGGGGCCCAATCAAGGTGTACAACCCAGTAGTCAGTAGTCCCTTTCTTAAGAATTCTGCAGGACATGCCATCTCCTGTCAGGGTCACAGCAAAAATCTGGAAGGCGCTCTTTCAGGAAGCGATGAGTATAGGAACCGTGACGCAGCCCTTAGAACAACGATACACAAACCCCATATGCAAAGCTCGAGCTTCCCCACTCGGCCTCAGCGGAACACGCGCGGTGGCCCAAGTTCTTGAACAGCAGGCTTGACAGCCTCCCGGGTGCAGGCAGGGGAGGCTTGCTGTAATAGGGGTCCCTCCTCAAGGGGTCCTTGAAGGATTGCGTGTGAGGGTTTGAGTTGAGGGTTCCTTTACAGGTTCCCTTTCGGGATTCTACAAGGTCGGTTCTTCCAGGGTTTGAGCTTTAGGCTGCAGAGTTGTTGGGTTTATCACGGACACCCTTATCTTAGAAAGAGCACGTGAGCTTCTCCCTGGACCCTGACCCCATGGAGCCTGAAAGCCCTACTCCCAACAACCCAAACCCCTGGGCCCCTAAAACCGTCATGAAGTCTAAAATTTAAGCTCCTGAACGCCTCAAACCCGTCAGCTCCCTGACTTTGTCGTTCCTCCAAACCGGCTGAACACTGCAATCTTGTCCCTGGTTGTTGGCAATATACTGCATCCAACCAAAAGTTACTTAGCACAAAAGGCACCTTGGCTGGATGGAGAGCTGCAGCTTTGGGCGCAGCAGGCATCCGGGTCGTGCAGATCCTTGACAAGAAGCATCTAACTACAGGTTGAAAAAATGTTTCATACAGGAAGGTCCGAACACTCTGATCGGCGGATCTTCTCGATTCCCGGACATCCCTGATCTCTCGCAAGACCCTGCACGTCCACGACTCCAATGTCTAAACCCAGGCACCGTATCCGAGAGATCTGTGGATGTGGACGTGGTCTCGTGCCTGCAGAGGACCAGAAGATCACAGTCAGACGTGAGTCTGTTGTTGCTGGTTGGCGATCTTGACAGTAAGACTTTCATGCTTGACGTCGCCCTGGCCTCTATTACCAGATCTGTTCATTGCAACTATCATCATTTAGCTTGTTCATTTCGCTGTAAGTGCTATCCTTGCAAGTACGTTCGCGTGCTTGACTGTTGAGAGGGCTCCTCCTCTGATGCCCCCGTTGCCGGGTTCCCGTGCCGTCTACGCATGCCGCAAGAAGCCAAGAGAAATCAGCAAGAGCTGCCTTCTCATCTAGTCCGTATCCTCTAAACCCCTATAGACCCTAAGCACGATCTTCAGCCACAAGCCACCTGCTGCTTGGCTCCTGGAGACCGGGGGGGGCCGCTCCGTGCTTGCTGCTTCGAGGCTTTAGGACTGGAGTGCAACTCCTTTACATTCCTTTACGCTTGAGGTTTGAAGGCTTTCGGCCTGAGGGTCAAGAGGTTGGAATGCGGCTTGCGGGTCGTTGCGAAATGGAGGGGTCTAAGCAGTGGGGTTCTTTCCTGTTTATGCACAAACATCCCTGCTAGTTGGTACAGCTGCACTCCGCTGCAACACTGTATAGGTGCCTTCAGTACATCACAAGCTGGCCTCTATAGAAATCTATCGAAGGCCCAGAAATGCCAAAAAAAATCGAGAAACCCATCTGAAGTTCTGCAAAACCCTATCTCCTCACTCTCGCTCTGCCGCTGCTCGGACTGAGCCGCTTGTTCCTGTCAGCATCGCTTGTCTTTGCCGCTGATCTGCTGCGACCGGCTTGGTTGATGTAACTTCGTTAAGATTAGCAGCATCACGTCCTATGAACACTTCACGTCACAAAAAACGTGCTGGATGGCCTGAGTGAACATCAGTAGACCGAAATGTCAATGAAAGTTTCACGAAATCAAACTCACTTCATGCGCCTCTACCTATCGCACCGCAAGTTGGAAACCATGGAGCATAGCAGTCAAATTATCTACTCGAGATTCATCAAACTAAAACAGCATCAGGACATCATCCGTGAAAGCAAGAAGCCCCAAAGAACCCAGCAACAGCTCTGACACACCACGGACGGCGTGACCTTGCGGGCTTCTTCCAGTCCTGAAGTGCTTCACTCACCGTAGTGTCGGGTTTGGGATCTCCGGCGTGGGGCATTTTGGCTGTCGAGGTTTCGGTGGGTTCGAAACCTAGAAAAATTCAGAGGACTGCAACGCCTTGGGAAACAGATGCCCTGTAGACTGACTGGGAAGCCCCCTACCCCCACCCCCCTGAAAGCAGAAAGCAAGAAAAGTATACCTCCACGACCGAAACCCCTCAATGGCAGGCGGCTTCAGGGTTTCAGGGTTTGCGGTTGGAAACTGCAAGGGCTGTCGGTTCAGAAGGGTCTAGACTCTAGACCCCAGGGTTCCGGCCTTCAGATCGCCGCTGGCTTTCAGACCCCAAAGTCTGATATGGGAGTTTCCAAAAACAGGGGACCCTAATAAACTAATATGGTACCCTAAATAGTAGGATCCTCAATATAAGGACCCCAAAATAAGGTACCCCAATTTTCGGAAACCCCCATATCTCAATCTTACCTGCCAAGGATCGCTGCTCTTCCGTCTCAGCCTCTGCGTCTTGCGTCGGCAGTGAAACCGAGGAGACCTCCTTCAAGGGCTTCAGGGCATCCGGGTTTAGGGTTTAGGGTTTAGGTTCAAACATCAGGGTTTCAGGCTGCGCTTCAGGTACGTCCAACCTGGACTCGGCCGTCTGAACCTGAGAATGTGCCAAGCACACCTGCAAGTCCTAACAGACAGCTGTTCCAAGCACATCCACAAGCACGCAAGAACCATGAGCAACCCGTAGGCTGCGAGTGATTACAGTGAATCGCCGCAGAAATCTGGCTACAGCTTCTCTATCTCGCTGACTCGCTGCCGGCAGCTTCACAGGATGCTAAGAGCGGGTAAGGCGGCATCTGCAGCTACGGCGAGGAAGAGCGGAAGCTGCCAGAAACCTTGAAACTGCGACCCGAGACCCTCTGAAGCCCATGTCCTTCCAGCCGGGCTTCTTGTCCATCCTTCGGTTGGGGCTTAGTAGGGCAATAGGGTATTTGGGGTCTCCGGATTAATTCGAAAATGAGGGTTAAGGCCAGTGTGGTTGCGGCTCAGCAGGGTGTTTGGGGTCTACGGATGAGGGGAGCAGGGAATGAGGGTTGAGAAGATTGGGGAGTAGTGTTAGGCTGATCAGAAACGCCTTAGATCCCACCAATACAGTGCCTTGAAGTTCCTTCATGTGATGATGCTGGCAAAGCTCTACTATCGGGGCCTTAAGAATTCGAACAGGGTTTTGGTATATCGGTCCTTGTATTGGGACCCGAAACCCTATTCCCATTCTGTGGGCCCTTGCACCCATACCGGCAGGCCAGAGAGCGCCCCGAAGAGCCCCAGACCTCCCTTAATCTGGGCATAAATGCTGAAAGGATCAGGGACTTGGCAAAGGTAGAAGTAAGGTAACTGGAGTAATATCTACTTATAGCCCCAATTAGCACACCCACTAAACCGTACTAAGTCCCCGAATCCCCCTCTCGCGAGCACCATCCATGACCCCTTTTCTAAGGCTTCGGCCTGACCCAGAAGAGCAGAAGAACGCAAAGGCCGCTCAGCACCGCCTTTCCACATGTCCACAAACTATGCAGCTTCGCGGGACGGGGAGACTTCCACGTTCGGTCCTGAGAAACCTTAAACGGCAAACAGAAGCAACGGATCCCTTGTAGTACCCCATATAGTAACAGGCCCTTATATTACCCTTGTATTACGAAGCTTCCCCAGTCTTCCGAGTACATTCAGCCTTCATAAAGTAGCAGAGGGTTTCGGGCCGGGGGGCGTGCATTCTGCTGGGGGGGCGTACATTCTACTGTGAATATATCAAGTAACCCTGAGGAATAGTGCTACTAATGGTGGTCGTAATGTTGCGAGTAAAACGCGACTACTATGGGGGTTTCCGAAAATAGGGGACCCGAATATAGCACCCTAAATAATAGGATCCTTATTATAAGGGCCCCCAAATATGGTACCCCTTATTTTGGGAAATTCCCGTATAACAACCTTGGTGCCAAAGTATCTACACGTTGGTCGCATGGACCCTTAAGGTTGTCGATCAAGTGCCCGACCTGAGCCGCCGAATACGCGTAATCCCTGACCCGCTCGAAACTCCCTGGAAACCTCTTAAGAAACCCCAGAAACCGCCCTTCGAAACTCCCTACAAACGCCTAAACCGCTATACGACGACCATTCGGGCGACGTACCCTGAGCCTCGGGCCGTGGTTCAAGGCCGACTGCTCAACGGTTCGGAAATCCAGCCGCCAGGTCCGGCATATGTTTGTATGAATGTATGTATGTGTGTGTGTGTGTGTGTGTATATATATATATATATGTGTATGTACACATGTACATGTATATATATATATATACATACATACATCTATATATATATATATATGTACAGCAAATATATATATATATACAGAAAATAACGCATATATATATATATGTGTGTGTGTGTGTATATGTATATCCTGCTGTTATGTCTTGCAGTATAGTGTAGTGTGGTATAGTATACTGTATCTAGAATAGTATGGTATAGTACGTATAGCTCATTTTCCTCTGTCAGTATGATAGTCAACATCTCCGCCTAGGCAAGGCAAACTCTCAGTTGAACTCTGAACACATACCCTGCCTTCAAACAAGATCAGAGCTAATATGAAACCAGATCTGCAGTGTACGCCAGTTAACGGGCACCTGCTCAATGCCCACTAGACCGGAGTAGTCCTTGGAGGAGTGCACTTTAACCCTGTTGTCCAGGGCCTCCCCGAAATCTTGAGAAGCCCCCCATCCCCTCTGCCCTTCCCAATACTGTAAGTACCCAAATACGCAAGCCCCAACAATAAGATCCTTGTCATAAGGAACCCTAAATAAGATACGCCAGCAACTTCAAGAAGCCCTTATGCAAGCTCAAACCCCTCGATCCCATGTCTGGCCTGAAGGATGAGAAAGAAGACGGGATTGTTATCGACCATCTCCGGCGTTCGCAGGGTTTAGGGTCTGGGGGGTTGGGTATGTTGAGGTTAGGCACTCCCCTTTGTGACAGCAGCATTTAGGGCTGAGGCTTTTCGTGGTTTTGGATGTAGCTTTACGAGGGCTTCAGCTGCAATAAGACCTTTTCTCACGAGTACCCCCATCAGAGCACGCACAGAATACTCAAGTGAACCGTCAAGCGAACCCCTATTTCAACTGTTCAGATTCCCCAGACCCCGAGGACTAAGCCTTCAGCACCAGCACCAACATCACAGGGATGCCGGTCATCCTCAGATGCGAGGGGCTGCGTCAATTCTGTGCTACACTCAGGGGTGGTGCAAGAGGAGTATAAGGCAGCTGCAAGGATTCCAAAAGGGGGCTTCATGCAGACGTGAGAATTGAATCCCTTCGTTTCATGGCCTTCGTAGGAGGATGCCCGGTCTCACCCTGGTTAAGGGCCGGGGAGCATGGAGTAGGTCTGAAGATTCAACCTGAACCCTAACGCTGGACTAAAACCCCTAACACCCTGGGCCCTGGAGCCCTCGACCGAGCACAGAAGCCGCACCCAAACCCCGAGCTCGGAAAGCGCTGAAATCGAAGGCGCGGGCACTGCAGAGCCGAAGATAACGGCAGAGCGTGTGGTTGGTACAATGCATGTCGAGCCACGCCAAGCTCATGAAGTTGTTGGCGGCAAAATAGGCTCCCACCGCCTCCTCTCGATCCTGATTCCGACTCTTTCAAGGCTCATGTCTCACAAAGTCGCAGCAGCTGGACTATAGCAAGCCTCCCACAACCGCCGAGCTCTGCAAGGCATCGTCCCCCGCTGCGGGGCCTCCGCGGCGGTGACGTCGTTGATGAGCGCCAGCATCACGTTGCCTCAAGGCTCCGTGAGGGCGGTGTTGAAGGCTTCACAATGCCTCAAGGGGTTTAGGCTTAGGGTGTGGCTTGGGTTGCGATGGTCCGGGCTGGTGCACTTCGGCATGGGTGCTTTATCGAGGTGTTGGTGCCACCAGGCTATTTCCGGAATGGTGCTAGGAAGTTTGTGGCCCATTTCGATTCTGGGCGTAGCAGGCAGGGTAAGAGGGATTTGGGGCTTTGTTCGTGTATTTGGGGCTTCGCAAGCAGTCTCAAGAACTCAGCCGGCCACTGGTCAGGCCATAGGACCCAACCACCTTCACGACGGTGCTGATCAGGAGGCCCTGAGAGGGAGAAGCGTCAGGAGGGCCCAAACAATCCATACACAACGGTCCAGAAGCAGTTTGTGACAAGTGTGTGTGGGGACCCACACCCCAAGGTACATGCTTGGTCCTCCCCTTGCCTGCCGCGCAGAGTCACGATTGTAAAACATTCAACCTATTCGAACACCTCAAGGGCCCATAGTCGACGACTCGGAACTGGCGAGAACTCAACACCACCGAGGGCCGCACCCGGGCATTGCTGCCAAAGATCATTAACGCCCTGGGCACGGAGCTGAGGAACGAGAGTCTGAGGCCTAGATTGGCGAAGTGCTCATCCTAGCAATGTGGCATTCACATAGGGGTCCTGCGGAGTTAGAATACGGTCTTGTTAGCACTGCAACTATGTTCGGGACAGGAGGGGATAAAGACTGCTTATCCTTCGGATCCCTACATGGACAAAGCCGTCCTCTCATGCGGTCCGGCTGTTAGAATCGACGGCAGCGCATGTACCCTACGAACCCATGCATATCAAGCGCTGATAACCCCTGCGAACCAACATGAACACTTCAGGAACTAACCAAGGTTCACGACCAACTTTGTCTTGCGTCTGTCAGGCCGCCCGGTCGCGGAGTATGACCAAGTCGGTTTTAAGGTTTGGAAACGCAACACCTGGGACTCAAAACTAAAACCTCAAACCCGTTCAAACCCAACAATGGTCCTTGTTAGAGCCCCTCCAGGGAGCCACTAAAGAAACGCATCAACATGAACCCTCAAAAGAATCCTTACTGAACCCTTCAACAAGCCCCCCCCCCCCTCGTTTTTTGGGCTCTTGACCAGCCGGGCGCGAAGGTGCCCAGGGCGAAGATCGCCG